CCCCGGGGGGGACGCGGTAGTTATGTGGGATTCTCCTCCATAGCGGAGGCATACCCACTAAACCCCTCTGTTCCTCCAACGCACCGGGACGGGACCACGGACACGTTTTCGCTCTCGTCCGCGGTTAGTTTGACTACTGCCCACCGGGTCAAATAGCCATATCAATCTATAGTTATTATTGTGGGTAAGTGACATCGAACAGCTATATTATGTAATAGTTTTTGTTACTTTAGAAGTCTATTCGATGAAACTAATATCTAATCGGAAATTTATTTCCGTTTATAGAACGAATTGACCTAAATTGTTTGAAAGCTATTGTTCCGTCGGTCGTCTTAATTGTATTGAAACGACCGTAAAAGGCTTTTGTTTACTTTGTAGATTTATTTTTAACTAAATTCTTAATCGTCAAATCGTGTAATTTATTAAAATTGATTTCTAATTATTAATACTAACTTTCTCAAAGACTGGGATTCCAGTTATGAGCTATATAAACACTTACAATAAAAAGAACTTCTTTTTTTTAATAAAAATATTAGCAAATTTAATAATATTTCTTTTTACCATTCCAACTAAGCTGTAGGCTTGTGCTTATATGGTTTACGACAATAGTTGAATGACGGGATTCGAACCCCCGTGATCGGAAATTCGTTCCATTAACCATTAGGCTATTGACGCTTCAACCTTCATTTATTTGAGTACTGTCTTTTACAATGTTAATCATATTTTATGATTCTTATCCATTTGCAAAAAAAGGGAAGAAAGTAGATAATCCAAGGTTAGTAATGATAACTTTAACAGACCTTTTTTGCCTTAAATTGCCTTGGGGAATGTTCTGCAGTATTACGGTCTTAAAGGCGGTACTTTCTTTTAAAAGCTGGCAACGCATCTGCAGCTATAATGGTGTTGAGGATGTCCATACATATTGATAATCATTATGGTGGTGCCGGCGCTTATCAGACCCCTTTCTCTTATTAAAAAAAAAATCTAATTTACCCCCTCCATGACTACAATAATAACGCATTACGTAACAAAGTGCAAATAATTTACTTCCAGATGTTAATAATTTTATTGATAGGAAATAAGAATCAATTAAACGTTAAAACTTATTATCGTCATTGAAAAGTTTCCAACCATTACTTCATCAAGCTTACTACACAATTGATTCAGGGTTGTCTCTGCCTTTGTTCCAATATTTTTACCGTATTCCAGTATATTTCCCTCATTTATTGAGTAGATTAGGAATACATACTTACGTGTCATTTCTAAACGCTATGCAAAACTTTGAAAAGTATGTCTCGGTCTCCGACAAAAGTGATCGCCAAAGTCGCCTGTTTGCGCCTTTTCCTACCAGTCCATCGCTTGTGGCTACCGCAGGTCCAGCTCTACGGTGTCTCGCTAGTAGTATCTGGGCCGGCCCATAGGTTATCGGTTAATTGGGGTCCAGAGACATGCTGCTTTGAAAACTTTGTTAAGT